CAAAACCACCGGCCCAACGGCAGCAGTGCGAGCCCTGAGCCAGGCTCTTCGCGCCTGGCCTTGCGCGGGCCGATGGCCTCAGATGCTCCACAGTCGCCTTTCCTGGAGGGCACGAGCGGCCCGCGGTCGGACACCAGGCACCCAGAGGGCTCCAGCACAGCGAAGGTGAAGCTGCCCTGCCAGACCCTCCTTCCGCAGCCGGAGCAAGGGCCGTCGGCAGCCGAGCTGAAGCTGGAGGCACTGACCCAGCGCCTGGAGCAGGAGATGGATGCTCGGCCAAAGGCTGATTACTTCGGTAAGGAAGCAGTGTGCCAGTCGGCGTGAAAAGGGTTCGTTGCACAGTGTCGCTGCAGGGTTCGCACCTGCAGGGTTGTGTGTCCCCATATGCCTGCTTGGTTATGCTTTTTCAGTTGCTCAGGGGGGGTTTTTTGTTACTTAACTTTTATTTATCACCGGGACTGGAAGCTTTTCCTACTGTGATGCTTTTTTCTTTAATCCTACCTCTTAAATTTTAAAGCAGAGATAGTGTAGCAGCTTTGGGGAGGACAGCGCTGAGAAGAAGCTGGAGCAGCATCTTTTGAAGTGCCCTTCATTGCTGGCGGGGAGGCACTTAACTTTTCTTGACAGTACTCGTGGTTCTCCATGTCTTAAAAGTATGTTGCCTGACCACGTGTGAGGGAGAAGGCTCCAGCCTGCGGAGGAGTCACGCCTGCGTACACTGCAGGCACCGAGAAGGGCTCTGAGCTTGGCGGGGGGGGACAGTGGCAGGCATCCCTTGGCAGTAACCCCCATGGGGGCAGCCACGGCCGGGTGTGCTTGCAGGATGTCTTGAAGAGTAGTTGCTTGAGGATGGGAAGGGTGGTGGTTTCCCAAACTTGCCAGGATTTCCCCCCCCTCCCCCTCCTCAGGTGCTGGTCCCCATCAGCTCTGAAAGTATCAGTGCATCCTGCAGACGGCAGAAAAATGAGTGGTAGGCACAGTCCTCCCTAAATGTTGGGTCTGCAAGTAGTCCGCACTGCCACCAGAGGTTATTGCTGGCACTTGGCAGTGGGAAGGGACTGCTTACATGTGAGGATCTCCCAGTGGGAATATTAAATGTCCTGCTGGATTAAACTGATTTACTGCCCCAGGATGGCAGAAGGTCAGGGGCAAATTGAGCGTTTCCTTTCCCTGCCATGTCATTTAATAGCAGATGAGATGATAGTTCAGCTTTTGGGAGAAGGAAACCTGGACTTGCAGGGAAGGCGGAGAACTCCACGGTTAATTTAACAAATGACGGGAGCAGGTCTAGTGTCTGGATTTTCCTCCTGATTTTAGACTCACGGTCACAGAAGTAGAAGCAGGGACAGGTTAAACTCTTCAGCCTGGTGCAGAGGAAGGGTTTGTGTCTCAGGCTGCACAGGTGCCGTTGCACAGGATCCTGCCCAGCGGGGTTGGTGGGTCTGTGCACACAGGAGCAGCCCTGGGCTTCATGCCAAGCTTCGGGGATGTAGCTGGAGGGACCACCGAGTGCTCAGTTGCAAATTGCATAACAAAATGTGTTTCCTGGCATCAGGCAGCGGTACTCACCCACATAGGGTTGTGTTGGGATTATTTATCTCGGTATCTGAGGTTGGATTCAGCCTTGTGGCAGGGCAGACGTGTTTTTACTCTGTCGCGGACAAGTGATGTGTCGAGTTGCTGCGCTTGGAGCATTTTGGCCTGTAAACGTGTTTGGGCACTTTCTGTGCCGTGCAGGCAGCACGCGGTTTGAAGAAGCTCAGGGAGCCTGGTCTGAGGAGGGCCAAACGCTGTGACGAGGAGCTGATAACGAAGATGGGGTTGGAACAGCAGTCTCGTGGGAGGCGGTGCTCAAAAATGGGAATATTGTGCTGGAGGCAACGTTTAGCTCCACCGGAGAGGTGTCAGGGGTCTCTCCAACAGAGCCTGCCGCACACGTCTTCTCCGGTGCAAGTAAACCAGCTGGATCATACCTCGTCCAAAATGTGCATGGGGATGGGATGAGAAAGCTGAGACACATAGTTGGTGGTTAGATTATTTGTACACAAAATATGCGGTAGCGCCAGGGGAGGCTTTCGTCCCGTGGGAAATCTGTAGTAGCAGAGTAATTCTGACAGCCCGGAGAGTCCCGCTGGTCAGGCGGCCGAGTTACGGGGGAGCCCTGGGGAGGGAGGAGAGATGGAGGCTGCCTGGTTCCCAGTGAGGTCTTTTGACGTCCTCCTGGCAGGAGGTTTTACACCAAGGTGTATAGTGTCTGAGAAGTTTGGGAAGGAGGAGAGGGAAAAACGCAACGCTGCAGTCATGGCAGAGGAAGAAGTAACGTTTTGTGGAGCCTCAGCTCTGTGTGGGAGGCTCGGCGTATCTGTCCTGTGGAGGACCAGGGAGCAGGAAGGGGCAAAGACTGAGGTATTTTAATTCTCACCTCCTCCTCCTTTCTTTCTTGCTTTTGTTTTCATTTTTTCACAGTTACCTTACTTCCTTTGGAGGAGTGAAGAACCTAGCTGGTCTTCTGAATCTGTCTTTGCTGTGCCGTACCCTCAAGCTAGCAAACTTTAGGAGGGAAAATATGTACTTTTATGCAATAGTGATAAAAAGGATCAACAGTTTGTTTTGTTACAGGCTTTGCCCCAGTGAAGGGAAGTTTAATGCAGCAGCTTTACAGTACATGGGAGCCAGGAAATGAAACCAGGACTGAAGTGCAAATGACCCAAGTTTTTTATCTAAAATGCTCTCAGCTCTCCTAATTTTGGGTGCTGCTTCTGTAACAAGGGGATTTTTTTTAAGATGGAGCTGTCTGTCTTGGTAACATACAGTCCTTCAGTCTGTCTCAGTCTGGACCAGATATTTATCATGAACAATTAATTAATTCTGATCACAGTAAAGAAGCTGCTTTTTCCTTTATTACGTGAAAACGAGTGTTTGTAAATCAAAGCCTAGAAAAGGGTAAGCTAGGGAGTAGGCATGATGTAGGTAGGATGCTCTGCTGAGGAGTAACAGATAGTCTGTTTATCTGTCAGCACCAGCTTGCTGTACAAAATCCATTTGTCTGCTCAGAGTATGTGCAACAAGTGAAAGAAGCAAACAAAGCCAAGAATTTTCTTTTTTTAAATAGTGGCATATGTGTGAGCAGCACGGGCTGCACGTGTCTCTGGAGGAATTTGGATTCTCCAAGAGTGCTTTTGAAGCACTGACTTGATTTATGTGGGCTGTCAAGGAGGACGCGGGGAGTCTCAGGTATCACCCAGGTCTTACACTTGAGGAGGGAAATCCTGAAATTGCTCCCTGGAGAGGCTGGTTCCACTGCAGCAGAGAAGGGGCCCCAGGTCCCAGGAGATGCCGCTGGAAACCGCCTCAGGTTGCATTCAGGTTTTTGGTGTACTGTTTCCAGGGAATGTCCAGGAACAAGGTGCCTGAATCCCACTGAATTTCCGGGACTGCCTGAACTCATGGTGTTCCTTTGAATGCACCAGCTTTCATCTCCACTTGGCTAATGGGAAGATTAATTAAATCGGAGTGACTGAGGGAGTTGCGACTCCTCTGCTAGCACCACCCAGTGCAATGCAGATGTTTCGGGTTAGGTGAGGCAGCACCATCCTGAGGACTGGTGCCGGATGAGTTTTCAGGTGAGAGCTGGGCAGGTACACAACCAAACCGAGCATCTCCCTGCACTGCCTGGAAGTGACCGGGCAGGGCAGAGGCCAGGCTGAGAGCCATTGGGGTTGACAGGGAGGTTTTGCCATTCATTTTAGCAGAACCTGTGGTACCATGCAGTTCCTTGGTCTGCAGGCACAGATGGGCGCTTTTAGAGGTGTAACATGTAGCATCACATTTTTACCAATGCTTATTTCGCATAGGTAGATGGAAATCTCCATCTGATGAAGACTATCTACACCCTTACCAAGAGCTTTTTTAAAAACAATTTTTATAAATGGTTTTCTTCTCATAAATACTTGTTAGGTGTTGAGTTCTGGCTTCCTCCCTTATTATTTAGAGCAGAGCTGATAAGCTGCAGGTATTTTAGGAGAGCCCCAGACATCTTGTTTTGCAGCAGTATGCCGGGATGCTTCCCAGCGGTCGGGCAGAGAAGATCTCATAGCGAAGCCTGCAGGTTTCTTTTCCCCTTGGCAGAAGCAGAGCGGTAGCTGAGTCACTGAAACCCCGTGGAGACCTGGAACCCCGGTACCTTTGAATGGCCGTGATCAGCTCGAAGGCCAGCGGAGCACTTTCGAAGTCTTGTGCATAGTGAAGTTAGCATTTTACTACTGCCAAAACCACAATTTGTTTAACTCGAAGGCTGTGCATACCTGCGGATTTTACCAAACCCTGATGATGATGGTGCACCAGGCTGATTTGGTGGAAACAAGGGTAATTCCAGGGCTGCTGAGTGGAGAATTTCTGCTTAGAAGTTCTTCTAGGTTTTTGTACATGGATGATGCTAATGGCGTCGTTTCCACTGGGAATGCACAGAGGCATCCCTCGCTGCCTGCTCCTGGGAGAACGCCGCAGTGGGAAGGAGATGCTGGCCTGCAGCGGAGAGGAGGGGGAGCCAGGACGAGGTGGGTCCTGGTGGAACAAGGAAAGCTGGAAGGATGACAGCACGTGAAGTAGTGGGCGTGTGCAGATTGCAAAGTTTATCTCACCGCAAGGAACCGAGCAAATAAATATTTGCCTGGGATATGGCTCTTCAAGATTACAGCAGTATGCGCTTCTCCTCCTTTCCTCGTGGGAGCTAAGCTGGGTTTGCAAGCTAAGGAAAAATCTGCCAAAAGGAAAGAAAAAGGAAGGAGTTGAGGCAGAGGAGCAATTGGTCTTTCAGCCAAGATACTGTGGCAGTGGAGACTGAAACAAATAAGGAGCCTCATTCGTTTGGCACCGGTGTTACCGTAATCTCCGACATCGCTATAAGGTATTTAAAATGTCACTGATGAGAGTTTGATGCCATTTTTGTACATCGCTGGCAGCATGTACACGACTGTCTACAGCAAAGTTGGGGGTCAAGAACATGGCATGCAAAAACGGTAAAGAAAAATTGCATTTACCAACTCCGTGGCTCTTTGGGCAGAGAGTACCTGTACATCTTTGCTACCACTGAGTGACAACCCAGTCACCCAGTGGTGAACGGGACCAAACTGCCAGGTTTTCCAGGCACTTGATCTCATGTGGGCCTCCAGATCTCCTTGAAATCAACTCTCCAGCAAGAGCGATTGCACAGTAGGGGATAACAGCATAGCGAGGCACGCAATGTGTCTGATTTAGAGTTTGATGTAGAAATGACGTGGTTAAGATGAGCCACGA